CCCTCTTTGTGCCTGTGTTCTGAGCAAACCTCACCACAAAGTTTCTGCAGAGACACCAGCACCAGCCTCTCTGTTCTGGCCAGGGTGTGATGAGGCTCAGGGACTCAAGTTGGATTTTTTAAGGGCACACTTTAGGTTTTGTAAGAGGCAAACTCTCCCCATGAATGCGTGGCCCCATTAGCTCACACACCATCCTTCAGTGCTGCTCCTTCCAGCTCGGCCCTGCTGGTTGCAGAAATCCCAGCAAAACCTGAAGGGGCTTTTGTGAAAACAAAGGCAGGCCCCGAGCCAGTGATGGGGAAGGCAGCCCTGACCTGCTGCAAATTCTCAGAGAATCCTTCCCCACTCTGAGCTGCTGTTTCCTGCCTCGCAGTGTTTGCCTGCCTGGATTGCCAGGCCCTGCAGGGCAAGGATTGGTTCTCATAATGTTTGCTCTGCCTTTCATAATAGAGTCTGGCTCTCAGGTGGCTGCTATTAATCATGAATTATGTATTAATGGTAATGCTGTGCAGCCAGCTCACAAAATGTGATGAGAACTGGCAGGGATGAGGCTTGCAGGCTGTGTTTTACAGGTGTGGAAGGGGCAGAGCTGGGGGATCCCAGGGCAGGAATAGCAGGAAAAGGGGCTTCATGTTTTATGGAGGCAGTTTCTGTGCTCTGGGACCTGAGGAGGGAGGGAAGATCAGTTAATCCACAGTGCAAGGTCATTTTAATAGTGATGCAGCAGTGGGAAAGAGAAGGTGACCCCTGAGGGGGGAACCTGGAGGAGCTGCTCCAGTCAGCTCTTGTGGCTCTGCTGTGGAGCTGCTGGCACACACAGGGCAGGGCAGCTCAGGAGTGGCACAGAAATGGCTCTGGCACATATGGGAAGCTCTGGTGGGGAGACAAAATGCAGATTAGTGTCTGGAGTTTGTCACAGATACCAAAATAAGGGAAGAGAGAGGACACACAACACAGGGGGAAGGAAAGGAGAAGCCTGCTCCTTGCTGTAGATCCCTGAGCTCCGTGGGTGACTGCAGAATTCTGATTTGGATTTGGGTGTGAGTCTCCTTTACCATGGAATGAATGAGAACATTATAAACAAGGAAAACCGTAAAAATGAGCAAAGATGAAAACATCAAAGTAGAAGCAAGGCAATCTGCAAATAACAGCATCAGCAAGCACATTAACAGGATCAGCTGTCCCTGGAAGAGGGAAAAGCTCCTCCTTCATTCTGCCCAAAGTCCCTGGGCAGAATGAAAGATTTACACCTGGGGTGAGTGTCCCAGGGCAGGAATGAGCCTCTGGCCCAGAGCCTGGCCAGGATTTCCCCTGGGAGGGAGCTGGGCTGGATGCAGGAGCCCCTCAGGCTGCTCAAGTGTGGGAGGATGGAACAAAGTATTGGAAATGTTGGGAAACCCACAGTCAGCCCTGAGAGCCTGCATGTTCCCATGGTCCAGCTAGTTCCCATGGTCCAGCTAGCAAAACCTTGGCAAGGTGTGAATGAACAGCTGAGGCCGTGAGAACCATGGAATTCCTGCCCTCTGCCTCGGGCCATGGGCTGCTTTAGAGAAAAAATCACCCCACAGCACTGCCAGAGATACCCCTGTGCTGTGAGAAAAAAAACAAAAACATCATTACAGCACTCCCAGAGATACCCCTGTGCTGGGTGGAAAAAAAATCACCACAGCACTCCCAGAGATACCCTGTGCTGTGAGACAAAAAATCATCACCACAGCACTCCCAGAAATACCCCTGTGCTGTGAGAAAAAAAAAAAAAACAACCAAAAAAAAATCATTAAGCACTGCCAGAGATACCCCTGTGCTGTGAGACAAAAAAAAAATCACCACAGCATTTCCAGAGATACCCCTGTGCTGTGAGAGAAATATAACCACGATAGCACTTCTAGAGATACTCCTGTGCTGTGAGGAAAAAAAATAAAAATCATCACCACAGCACTCCCAGATACCCCTGTGCTGTGAGATCTCCCAGGCTGTTAAAGCTCAGGGGAAATGCTGAGCCTGGAGATGCTGGCAGCAATGGGCCCTGGAGATGCCCTGCTGCTCATCCGGGGCTTTTTGGTCCATTTTCCCCTGAATATATGAAGGTGATGGTGGCAGTGGGCCTGCAGCCCGTGGCCACCTCTCCACCAAGGTCCTGAACCTCATCCAGGCCCTGCTGCTGCCTTGACATGGGCACAGGAGAGGACACAACCCACCCATTGATGGAGGTGGCTCTTTGAATCGGGTATTGAAAATCCAGCTCAGGGCCAGCTGCAGTGGGACAGGCAAAGGAATGATCTTTGGGAGCTGTGGAATGGTCCCAGGAGCCAGAGGAGAAGTGTTTGTGCTGCCCTGGAACGGGTGTGCCCATCCCTGGCTGTGGTCAGTGTTTGCCACCACCCCTGGACAGGGACACAGAGAAAATGCTGAGAGGCAAAGGGTGCCTTAGAGACAGGAGAAACGAGGGCAGAACTGGAGCTGCAAAAAGCCCCTTCAGGTTTTGCTGGGATTTCTGCAACCAGCAGGGCCGAGCTGGAAGGAGCAGCACTGAAGGATGGTGTGTGAGCGCTCGGATTTTCTGCCTGAAATAGAGCTGCTAGTGCAGCTTTAACGAGGAGTTTAGCATTTGGAAAACCTGCTATGATCTTTGCAAGGTGATTTACAAGCCTTGGGTAAATGTTGTGAGCGTTGTGCTGCACCACGACGCTGCTCTGGCAGCTCTGCTGCTCCCCCAGACACTGCTGCTGGCAGGGAGGCCAATTCAGCAGGCACAGCCTCGGTGCTGCTCCAACCCTGCTTCCAAAGGGCTGTTATGCAACCAGGAGGGAAGGGAACCAGCAAATTCCAAACTGTGGTTACCTAGCAGCTACAGCTGAGTGATGGAGCTGCCATGGGTTCTGGTTGTGCAATCTTGTTCTTCCTCTGGTTGTACAATCCTCCTTTCCTTTTTCCTGTCCTCCCCTTTCCTTTTTCCTTTCCTCCCCTTTCCCTTTTCCTTTCCTCCCCTTTCCCTTTTCCTTTCCTCCCCTTTCCTTTTTCCTTTCCCCTTTCCTTTCCTCCCCTTTCCTTTTTCCTTTCCCCTTTCCTTTCCTCCCCTTTCCTTTTTCCTTTCCCCCCTTTCCTTTCTTCTTCCCTTCCCACCCCACCCAACCAAAACAACCAAGTTTTGTTATTTTTATTACCCCAAGCTCCCCACCCATGTTCAGAGGAGCTCAGGCAATCCCAGCAGAATCACCAGGAGGGGCTGGGTGCTGTTGGACCTTGTCTCACCGTGGATATTTTTCATCACCAGCTCTCTCTGGCTGCACCATCAGTCCTGGCTGATCCCTGGGGCAGGGCTGGTCCCACGGTGGGGTTTGGCCATTGCTGTGCCCTTCTCCAGCTGCCTGGCAGCAATTAATGACCCCCAGGGGATTTCCTGATTTTCAAATTGTTTTCTTAGCACTTAAATAGGAGGAGTTGTGAGGTGGGAGCAGAGTGGGGACAGAAGTGAGGAATTCTCCTGAATTATTGTAAGTGGGATCTTCACCTGGGTGCAGGGGGGAGGAGGAATTTCCCTTCCTTTGCAAGCATGGAATTTTCAGTCAAAAGCTGGAATCAGGTATTTTGTCCCCGTTATTTAGATTTTAATTGTGTTTTATAGATAAATGTCTGTGTTTCATGGCCATCCTGTCTCAGTTTGCCACCGCCTGCAGGGTTGGTTCAGGGTCAGGCTGTGCCTCCCACGAGGATCCCTGCTCACGACCAGAGCCTGGGAAATAAATTGTGTTTGCCAAATGTCCTGGAAAGATTTGGGCTGGGAGAGCTCCAGCCATGGAGGAGAGCAAGGAAAAAAAGCAAATAAACCAGAGTTCTCAAAGGCATAATTGCAGTATTTCAGAATTAACTTATACTTCATTTTGGTGGCTCAGTTTTTCAGTGAGAAAACAGCATTTTCTGCAAAAATGTTGCTTGAAACTGAAATTTCCATTGGAAATCTGGCTCTGATGGAAAAATCTCTGATGGATCTGTGCTTGCTGCTTCTCTGTGTTTCTTAAACAAGAACTGAAATTCAGTTTCAGCAACACAGAGTGTTGCTGGCTGCCTCAATCTATAAATATAAATAAGAAGTACAATTGCAATCCCAGTTCTGTTCTGTGGAAATATAAAAACCATTGGAATGGGTGAAAATGAAGAATCTGGGAAGGGTTGAGCTTTGAGGATGATCTGATGATTCCAAGAGGCCATTAAACATTTTTAGCACTTGTACAGAAAGTCAAAAGAAAGTTTTTCAGAGGTTTTTTATTGAAAGGATCCCAGCAAGCTCCAGTTAGGAGAAGTGGGTACTCATGGGAAACATCAGAGTAAAGACAGGAGTGCTCCACACATGTTGGTAAAGAAAATTTTTGGTTTCTCCAAGCCTGTTCTCCCATCTGTAATCCCTTCAAATTCCATTAATTGAAAATGCTGCACTAGTAGAGAGGGAAAAAAAAAAGAAAAGAAAAATAAATACAAAAAAAAATTTATTATAAGGGAAAAAGCCAAAGCTGTTTGTCAAAGTGATGCAGCAGAAGAAATCTGACTCTCCAGGAGTGCAGGAGGGACCAAAGCTGAAGCTCAGAGGTCTCCAGGCTGTTCCTGAGTTTCACCTTGCACAGATCCCTGCTCCTCCCACACTGGAGGTTCCACAGGCAGGAACTGCAGCTGGGTCCCACAAGGAACCCTTGGAATATTCCAAATCCTTGGAATGTTTCAGCTGCAGAAATTCCAGCAGAATCCTGGTTTCCATCTGGGAGTGTGGGGGGCAAAGCTCAACTCCTGCTTTTGTGTCCAGGTTCATTTTTTATCTCAGGTTTCAGTTTTCTGTTCTGTTCACAGCCCCAGGAAAGGGAAAACCAGGTGAGCTTTTGTTCCATGTTCTGTACCAGAAATTCCAGCCCTGGTTCAGCCAGTTCCCCCTAAAACTCGTCAAAACCAGCCTTTTGTTTCTGAAAATGCTTTTTGTAAGAAAATGCTCAACCAGCTTCACTCAGGGTACTGTGGCATTAACTGTAAATAATAATTATGAGGAGAGGATTTAAAAAAACCTTCACAGGTTCTGATTAGGATAAAGACCTAGATTAAACTTGCCTGAAACACTGGAAAACAGTAGTTAAATCCTCTGATGTGCTTTGTTATGTTCCTGGCCATGAAAACCCTGGAAAAGAAGGAGATTAGCAGAAAATGCAAACCAGAGAGAAAAATTGCTCTTTAAGAGAAATTTGAAGTTGTTACACCAAATTTACCTTGGTGAGAGCAGAGCTTTCTTTGAGATCTGGGGCACGAGATGTTTTGCCTCAATTTTCATCCACAGCTTTTCAAAAGCCACAAGAAGGTGCAGGTCACCCCCATGGAAAACCAGGAGACTCCTGAAGAAAAACAGCCAGCAGGGATTTTTAAAATAATCAAAGAAGAATAAACCATGAACAAGTCCCAGAAAAATGCTCAGGAGGCGGAGAGTTCATTTTTTAAACTGATCTCTTCTCCCTGCAGAATCTTGCTCCCACCTTATCAATATTTTAGGAAAGAAAGAGAAACCTTGTGCAGCTGCAGAAGCAATTTGGAGGGATTAAAAATTTATCCTGTTTTGAGCAAAGCTTTCAGCAGGTGCTGGAATCACTTAATCAAAGGTGGGTGACCTGCCCAGCTCCCCCTGCCATGGCTGGGACTGGGGTGGGAATTCTCCTGTCAGAATTCCTGCCACAGTGGGTCACACACTTTGCCTAGAAAAGCAAAAAAAAATCAAGTCTAGAATGGAAAAGTGACTTTTTTCCTGCTGGTTTCTTTCTTGGTGATGGAATAGAGGCAAGCAGGTTATATCAGGCTTTGAATTTGGCTCAGTAATTAAATTGGCTGATTAACATCAGCTGAAACCCAGAGTTTGGGCTCTGCAGGAAATTTGGACAATCCCACGTTGATTTTCACTCTAGAGTAGAAGGAGCCATGTGGATTAGAAATTTCCAAAACATCCCCCTCACCAAGAATTTTATTGAAGTGAAGAAAAAGGAAAATAGGAAACCTCCAGCTGACACACAGAAATCAACCCAAAACTTTAATTCTTAAAAGCCTTTCAAACATATGGGTTGGTGTTTTGTGGTGTGTTTTTTTTTTTCCATTGCTAAAGGAACCTAATTAAAACATTTCCTTTACTGTGCTTTTCAGTGGAATTTCACTGTGATTATGATGTTGGATGGAACATTTTGCTGAAACAAACCAGGTGTGGAGACACTAAAAGCCTTTCAAACATATGGGTTGGGTTTTTGGTTTTTTTTCCATTGCTAAAGGAACCTAATTAAAACATTTCCTTTACTGTGCTTTTCAGTGGAATTTCACTGTGATTATGATGTTGGATGGAACATTTTGCTGAAACAAACCAGGTGTGGAGACACCACCTGGGAGACTTTTCCCAAATTTCCTTGGTGTGTTTGGCACTGGGACAGCTGGGGCACAAACCCCAGAGGAGCTGCCCAGCCTGGCCAAGGACAGGGCTGTGGGATTTCCCTGCTCTGGACGGGGCACAGAGACCCCATCCCTCTGCTGGCAGAGCTGCTCCTCACTCCCACCCACCAGGAATAATTGCTTTCATCAACACCACTCATCAGAGCAAAGAATAATCCGATTTCCTGGCGTGGTAAGAGCTGCTGTGTGACAGAGTGTGATGGGCTACAGCAGGGCAGGGAGATCGGAGGGGAAATGTGGGCACAGGTCCTGTTGGCATGTGGGAAAATGCAAATTGGAGCTTCCTGGGGGGAAAAAACAGGAACCATTTGTACTCCCCAAGGTCCTTGGGGCCCTCTGGGGGCTCAGGCTGGGCTTTAGGATCTGTGTCCCCAATTCAGGCTGGGCTTTAGGATCTGAATCCCCAGTTCAGGCTGGGCTTTAGGATCTGTGTCCCCAGTTCAGGCTGGGCTTTAGGATCTGTGTCCCCAGTTCAGGCTGGGCTTTAGGATCTGAATCCCCAATTCAGGCTGGGCTTTAGGATCTGTGTCCCCAGTTCAGGCTGGGCTTTAGGATCTGTGTCCCCAATTCAGGCTGGGCTTTAGGATCTGGAGGAGCTTTTGGGGAGAGGTTCTCAGGTGGAGAATGGGGTTGGGGTGGGGCAGGGGCACAGAACATTTGGGGTGTCAGGGACAGCCCTGGGATGTGCCCCAGCACACAGGAGAGTTTCCATCCTGGGGGGCAAACTCTGTCCCAGCTTTGATTCTGTCCCAGTGCAAACCAGGAGTTGTTGGGAACAATTCCCAGCTCCGTTTGGGCTCGAGGGGAAGGAAATCCCCTCCCTAAATCCCTGTCTGGGAGGACAAATGTTCTCCTGGCCTTGGGAGTGCTCTGGTGTCCCACACATCCAAACTGCAGATGGACCCAGGGGAGAAATAACCCAGTGAAAAGGGGAAAAATACAAAATATGTCTTTTCCAGTCGGAGGATTCCAACTTTGGACCTCAGTGCTGGGCAGGTTTCTGCAGCATTTGTCACAGGTAATTCTGGCAATCTATTCCTGGCTGAAGTGTAAATAATTGCTGCCAGAATGCCATCGTGGTGCTGAGGAATATTTCTCCAACAGAAGAGAAACAGCATGTTGATTCTTGAACCACAGAAAGCTATAATTGTCATTTAAAATCTGGCACGTTGTTTAAAATACTGAATTCTTTATCTTTCGGAATCTTTATAATTATACATCTAAACCATCACTCTGAATACATTTGCAAGTGTTGTTCCATTTTTAAGATCTTCCCCAATTTAAATATCAAGGCCCGAGAGAAAAATGAAATTAAAAAATCCTACCTGCACAGAAAGCAGAACCCATTCTGTTTCAAAGCTATTCATTCCTGTTATAGTTACAAAAAAAAAAAGCTATAAAATTATAACACTTATTTAAAATGTCTTTTCTCACACAATAGCAAATGTTCCTGCTCCTCCTCTCACCATAAAACCACCATATCAAATACCTTTTTTCATGAAATGATAGAAGTGCTGGGGGAAAAACCCACAGAATATTAAAACTTCTCAGCTTCAGAGATGCCAAACTGTTATCAAGGACTGTGAGAGGGTACAAATTTTCAGAAATGTTGAAAGGAGAGGGGAAAACCCCAAGCTTTGACAAGAACAGGATGATCCTAGCCACGGCTCTTGCCCACAGCCCAGAATTTCAGCCGTGAGATAATCAGGCTTGCAGGGGCTGGTGTGGAGAAGGCTCTGCCATGGATCAGGCTCTGATCTCTGGCCTGGCTCTCATTGTGTGCAGCTATGCACTGGAAGAGTTTTAGAATAAAATAATAATAATAAACCCCCCAGGAGCAGGGGCTGTGAGACAGGAAAATCCCAGATCCTGGGTTAGCTCTGCCCTCCTGTGATGTCTGCATGCAAGCAGAGCTCCTGAAAATGCAGAGCCTTGGCCTGGAGGGTCTGGTGCTGATCTGCACGGGGAACGCTCTGCCAGGAGGGGAGGAAGGAAGCAGCCACTGCTCTACCCACAAAGTGCTGTGGATGCAAGCAGAGCTCCTGAAAATGCGGAGCCTTGGGCTGGAGGGTCTCTGGTGCTGATCTGCACGGGGAACGCTCTGCCAGGAGGGGAGGAAGGAAGCAGCCACTGCTCTACCCACAAAGTGCTGCGAAATGGGATTGCAGGCATGGGAGGGGCTGCCCGATCCTCAGGGTCCATGGAACAACCTCCACGTGAGTTCCACCATGGCAGCTGGCAGCCAAAGAGCAGCGGGAGACCTGCAGGTGGTCTTGTTCCTGAGCTGATTGCTGACCCCGTGGGTTATCAACCCCAAGGAACATCCCAAGGAGTGTTCCAAGGAACGCCCCAAGGAGTATCCCAAGGAATATCTCAAGAAGTATCCCAAGGAACGCCCCAAGGAATATCTCAAGGACTATCCCAAGGAACATCCCAAGGAATCTCCCAAGGAATCTCCCAAAGAATGCCCCAAGGGATATCCCAAGGAACACCCCAAGGAATATGCCAAGGCTCCCAAGGACTATCCCAAGGAACATCCCAAGGAATCTCCCAAAGAATGCCCCAAGGGATATCCCAAGGAACACCCCAAGGAATATGCCAAGGAGTATCCCAAGAAGTATCCCAAGGAACACCCCAAGGAATCTCCCAAGGAACACCCCAAGGAATCTCTCAAGGAATACCCCAAGGAATCTCCCAAGGAACACCCCAAGGAATATCCTAATAAATACGCCAAGGAACATCCCAAGGAACACTGCAAGGAATCCCCAAGGAACATCCCAAGGGATATCCCAAGGAATCTCCCAAGGAACACCCCAAGGAACACCCCAAGTGCTGTTTGTGTGCTCCTGGTGCCACCCATGCGTTTTTGGCCAGCTGGAGGAAGAGAAACCAAAACTCCACCACACTTTGCTTAAAGAGAAATTCTGTCCAAGTGCTGTGAGCAGTCTGTGGGAAGGATCGGAGCTGCAGCAGCCCTGCAGTGACATGCTTGATGGCTGGGGAGAGGAGATGTAATGATTCTGGACAGCAACTGTCAGGGTTAAGAAAGTTATTTGTTCCATTGGTTTATGGCACAGACTAGTAGTATTTTATTGTCAAACAGAATTAGTTTTATATCAAGAAGAGTGATTACTTGGGTTCACTGTGTTTGAGATTAAACTTGATGATTTCATGTCCATTATTGATTTAGGCTTTACATTCAGAGGAGCAGCAGTTTATATTTTACTTAAGGGGATTTGATCACAGTAGATGGAATCTTCAATGGTTTCTGCAAATAAATTAGTAAAGTTGCTGTGCCTTTTACAGTAACTGCAGAAGGAAAGTGAAAGGGGGTTTAGCTCAACTAAAAAAGTGCAAAAAGAAGATGCAAAAATGCTGCTGAGCTTTTGGAGGGTGCAGGGGACGTGGTGACACCTGAGAATGGGGTGCAGAAAAGCAGGAGCCACCCAGGGGGTGCTGAGCCCCTGGCACTGGGCAGCTCCAGGTGAGGCAGCACTGCCAAAGCCCCAGTGCACTCCATCTCCTCTAATTCATCCTGAAATTTCACCCAGGGAGAGAGGGACATCCAGGGGACATTCCAGCCTCAGAGGAGGGCCAGATGTGGGAGGCAAATGTGCAAAATAATGCCTGTCCCTAAAAACCCCTCCTGAAACCCCCTAAGGCAGGCAGGCTGGAGCACAGCCAGAGGTGGGTCCTGCTCTGCTGCTCAGGTCTGCAGCCCAGAGCACACAGATGTTCTGTGGGAGCCAGGGCTGTGCCAGAGCATCCCTGCAGAGGAGACAGGGAGGATTTGGGGCCAGCACCCCAGGGATGGACACTGTGGGGTTCCCCTGCACCCCCCCTGAGCCCCTGGGCAGCACAGAGCACTCCTGCCAGCTTTGGCAGAGCTGGCACAGCCAGGCCCAGCCCCTCTGGCCTCCCAAAGCTGGGCTTTGCTGGGCTCTGCTCAGAGCCAGCTGTGGATGCTGAAGCTCTCAGCCCAGGTGGGTTTGGGAGCCCTGAGCTGTCCTCACTCCTCCCTTGGCTTGTGCAGGGCCCTGTGACCCAGGCACTGTTCAAATGCCCATTTTGAAGGTGTTTAGAGTCAGCTGGCAGCGCTGTGCACAGACTGTCACCTGCAGGGTTACAGGGCCTTGGCAGCCTCACCCCACAGCTGCCCCACACCCCTCAGCCTGCAGCCAAGCCTGCCCAAAGTGGGATCTGAGCT